GAGTCAAATGGCAATTGTCCCGTCCAATGAATTCTAGCCCACTGTAACAAACTGTCTAGATGTATGTGTAGGAAATAAATGACCACGCTCCATCTGCATTTGACAGAACATGTATAAAGTCTAATACTTTTAATCTAGCTGAATTTCATTTGAGCCGTTGGGCCAGTTCTGGGCCACCGGCAAAGGCTATTCATCTGTGTGGGAAACAGATGTATTATGACTAATGTATCCATCACCGCTTTTTCATTGACACTATCAAAATGCTTACGGCCGCCAATGGCTTAGCGCTAACTTCGCAGACGCTTATCGTTAACACGCACAAAAAAAAACTATATATATGTTTTCAAACGTATATTTCAGCCATATTTGTTCCAGCTTTCTCCAAAACGACCTTTTAGATTTGGGAAAACATCCGTTCGTACTGCAACGCAATGAGATATGGTACCGTTTAAAACACGCTCGTGCGTACGATGCCACCTCGCATAAGATCATCATTGAAATCGGATTCGAGGCCGTCCGTATATAGCAACCATATAAGTCTGCATCTATGGAAATAGACACCTGTTCATTATCGTTAAATGTCGGGCATAGTTCTTTACTATTATAAGTTATTTATTTTGTGCGAATAAGTCTTTCAAATCACTTATTTTCCTGTGTAGCGGCGAGAACTCGTTCCCATTAAAAGGCCTTTTCCTTTCCTTTTTTTTGAACTTTTCCTCCAACAGATCTATTAAACGGCATAGTAATCACACAAGAATCTATTAACCTTAATAATAAGGCCTTGTTTGCTTCGGTTACTTTTATCTGCTTCATCCTTTATTTTTTCTGACTATTAATACTTAATGAAAGTGTTTGTCGACGCTGAGATTTTGTCGCGCGTACCTACGGCATTATTAAATTTACCACATTCCTCCTCCTCCATTCAGCATAATTTCCCTTTACTTGCAAATTGTATCCTTCGTGTTTCCATTGTCAAGCTACACGACACGACGGCCTCGTTATTATTGGGTTATTGAGGTAGCGAAATATCGTTGAAAACTTTCATTGCACTTATTGCAATCCATTCAGCTCTATCTGACACAGATAGCGAACCTAGAACGGGTCACCTCTGAAAGAGTAAGCGCACGGAAACATACGTGCGTCATGGCACTCTCTTACATCAGTGCGGTGGTTTTCGTGAAGCAAGTTTTTCAGCGTACTTGTTTGGTCAAGCATACCGCTATCATGTGCCGCTCGCCGTCAGAAGCCCTACAATCAAAGGTTTTTTTTCGAAGCTAATCCTTACTTTCAGTGCACTGCGTAGCGTTCTCTCACAGAACAGTATATTCATGACCAATTTTGTCCGTCTGTCTCGGCTTTGGGTGAGTGCATCAATTTGGTGGAAACTTGCGCAACCGGCCTCCTGCTGTCGTGGGAAGTCATGCGATGGGTCTGGCCCGTTGGGCTAGTGAGTTTCTTTGGTTCTTGTCGAGAGTTAGCCTCGTGTCCGCGAATGTTTTTTCTCAGCTATATAAGGACGCTGTACGAGGTTGGAAGACGTGCATCATATGAATAGGGAAATAGTTTGGCTTGTGTGCTTTCGCTATGTGCTTTTGCAGGTTATTGAGCCACAACGCTGACCTATCAATCGTGTTTCTGTTCAAAACCGATCAACTTATAGACTGAAATTATGATCTGTTAAGCAAAGATCAACAGTAAAGACACTGGTCTTTTCCTCTGTGCATCAAAACTAAGCTTTTTGCTTGACTCTGGGCCCATTAGATGTACGGCATCTTAATCATATACCTGGAGATTTTGAAAGAATTTTTGGCTGAATATATGATATATAAATATTTATATAAGACTATTTGTGTAAGAGTTACGAGACTCGTAATTGTACTTTACGTTTAAAAAGTTGTCTGCACACACATTTTAGGATATCTACTTTCTCCAAGAATCTAATTTTGCTAAAGCGGCTTCACTAGCGCTTTTTGGATACGGCGTCCGCACTTGAAGACACCGTTTAGCCTTAGCAAAGATATTCCGAAGATTAAGTAAAGTAAATTGAATTCAAATCTCTATTAAGACTATGCGACGAAATGGAACTCTAAATGCTCTGTCCATTTAAACGGCGCGTTCCCCGTGAACGTCAAAAGTCTTTTCCACATTAGACTAAGCGACCTTTGTAACAGGTAGCCTTTCAAACTGCAAAACAGGATAAATAATTTGTTTTTCTTTTAAAGAATCGCCAGGCAGCATTCACGATGAAAAAGCCATAGACCGTGCCTATCTTATCGGCAAGGCGAGTAACTGTATAATAAGATCATATGTTCCAAAATATCGTTAATGCCCAGGTCTAAATGTGTTTAAAACTTGATTACCTATTACAGTTTATTAGTAGAGGAACCGGTAACTTGAATTTTCTTTAGTAACTAGATCTGTGATTCGTGTTACTATTTGAGTGCCGATTTCGATTCCTACAATATTGCTAGAACTTCAGAATGTCCTTGCTTACAATAGTAGGAACTAAGATGGCGTGGGCTTATATGACGATATATTAACTGTGGAATAAGTGCTATTGATCTATTATATGCATATCGTATACGTATGAGTATCTTACAATTACTTGTTCCAGTATAGTTACTGCTCAGACGAAAAGTTTAGCCGATTACGAGTAAGGATAGGTTAACCGTGTTTTTATTGGGAATAGGCCAATATGCTTGCTATGGAACTGCGCCACGCTTGGCTCATTAATGTGCTACTTTTCCTAATTTTGTAGACGACTGTGGTCCTAGTAGTAATTGCACTAATTGCTGTAGTTCAGGTGGCCGGAAGCCATTGCGAAGCCAAATTTTCAAGTGGCTCTGCACCAGTGCGTGACGAGAAGCTCTACTTCCAATGGTCGCCCGTTCACACGTTGCTGTTACAGAAAGTAATATACATCATTCCAATTCGACAGCAGACATAGACACGATCACTTAAAATAGTGCAGTTCCATGTTTCTGATCCGCGTTTGGCGAGCATACTTTATTGTTCAGAATCGTCAGATGCGAGCTATCTAAAAATATTACATACGTTCACATTCAGTATTACTGTCAGCCCAACGCTACCGTCCTATAATTGGTCCTCTGCGATCTCTTTGTCAGCGCTATTAAGCCTGCAGCGGCAACCAAAATGCTTGAGGTCTTCATGTCACGTACTTAAAGCTGAAGAATCCGATACAACTATCGATATTACGATTTCTCAGATGCTTTCTTCAGCTCAATTCAGCCCAGTTCAACAGCGGTACGGCATACGCGTTCCGAAATGAAGCGATCATTTTTCGAAAAACTTCAACAACGCCAAACGTCAATTCTGCATTATGCATCCGTTATTGTTCGACGCAAAGTACTATCTCACACATATTCAGGGCCGTAATAGTCATCAGATGAAGAGCTTATCTTCGTAATTATGCAAAGAACTAATTAATCACACAGGGAAGTTGTTGAATAATTTCAAGTCGTTTGTTATTTGGCTTCGGAAAACACCCCTTATTGCGTTATGGTGATGCGACAGGCCGTCAACTGGCCTGCGTGTTCATGGAAAAAAACTTAGACTACGTAAATCAATACGTCGACAATAGCTTAATTATACCTATATGCCATAGAATATCGCCGTTTCCTTATTAATTCTGTAATACGTTATGGGGCTGAAACGATCCCACCAGCCGAATGGTCCGTTTCAGTAAACCTTATAGCAATTAACGAGTAAATACGTACGCTCAGTCATGTGTTGTCCTTAGAGCACACATGAAAATAACTAGGATCGACAATGGGAGAACCTGCATTGCTATCCTGGAAACGTTCAACGATCATACCTAAATGTAAGGACGTATCAGGTCAAACGGAGGTCATTCCGACTCTACTTTTGTTACCTTCTCTTGCCTACCCGCAGCTGTGCCTTGATATTAGGCCTTATAGTCAATGATTAACCTTTTTTTCACACACACACACACACACTTGAATGACACGACTTGACGTGACGGCGTAAAATGATTAGGCTGTCGCGTTTATACAGACCAGGCAATGCAGACTAGAAGAGCAAGTCCGCGCACAGATTTCAAGCCAGGCCGCCACCGCAGCTGCCGATAAATACGCCAGATTATGCCGAACGTGTGGAAGCAGTAAGGTCCGAAATGAACTTTTCACACCTTTGGCTGACGGTCTGCCATGGCGATGCCCTAATACTGATAACAGCAACGATCCTAAGGATCCATTTACTGACAGCTATAATAGTAGCTTAAACGAATTAATTAGCTTTATTGTTCTCAATGCCCCGTCTAGGTTTACAATTTATATAAAAATGCTATGTCAATTCGCCAGTTAATTCTAATGAATGGCTGCGTCGACTCGTATATAGAAATAAATTATTCTTCTTTTTGCCTAATTTTGGTCTTCCTTCTCTCCGCTTATCACCAGACATACGAAAGAAAACTTTGGCTTGACAGCACTTCTTAGGAGCGACTTCATAAACTCAATCGGGGACCAAAAAGCTTACTTACTTACTAAATGACGTTTCGATGGGCTGAAAGGAAACGTGAGCCTCAGTTTACTCGCCTTCGTTTTTTACTTCACTGCGCCCCCGAACGCCTTCTTCGAAATTTAGCAAATTATAACATTCAGCGGAACTTCACCCTGGAAGCAGGTTGGCATTAAGCATAGTATCGCTATGACTTTTTGAAATTGTATGAACAGTTCACTCGTATAGTAAATTTTTTGGCCGACTCTGATCGTTGAAGATGCGTTACATCATCGCGCGAATCAATTGCGGCACTTTGCCTTACCCTCCAGCTCATACGTAACGCAAAATGACATGCGCCGATAAGCCTGTCGCCGACTGTAATCAACCGTTATTAGTGATTAAATGCACGTTTTTTTTCTGTTTAGTCACATCAGTGCGCATCATCACTGAACTCACTGTGGTGATTCGTTTATTGGCCGACAACAATTTTCTTCGTTCGTTTTCGTTCTTGGCTGTTACAGATATGACCTCGGACGAGCAACGGCTGCTACAATATGCTAGTTCCCAAGGGCATCAGCATCAATACCGGGCAGTCGACGATCCAGGGGATGGCTTGATAGGCACCTCAAAGAGTATGGCCAGCATCGGAGATAACGATGATATGTCGTGTAGCGCAGTGAATGGGAGTGGTCATCATCTGGCCACACATAGAAAGTCACCTTTAGCTGGATGCTGCCGATTTCCTTCACACGCCTGCGTGCCGGTAAGCGATTACTCGTTGAATTTCAGGAGTGATCCTACAGCCCCAAGCAGACTGAATTCAATAGCATATGTCAACAGTGATGGATCATTTAGCAGAACGAAGAACATTTTATGACAACCAAATACTGTTGTTAGTTGATGGAAGATGACTGTTTACTTGGTTTCCGATTCCGAGGTTTACCTCTGGATAAGATCTGACAAATGTTCAACGACCTATCCTATGTGTGGGTATTGGTATGTAATAGTTGAATACGAGCAGTTGCGAGCAGAGTCAAGAGCGGTTGCCTGTTTTTGGCAGCACCTGATTCTGTATTAGGATCGTTTTTCAGCGTAAAAAAACATATAATGCTAACAATTAAAGGGCAAACTGCTTTGCTGTCGCAGCTATTGACAAAGTTGTTGTTTTATTATAACTTTAGATCGAGGCTAGGCGTGTTCAGCGATCAGCAGTGTAGAAAGGACGCATGTCTTATGGGGAACTGCTATAAAAGCTTACTTTCGGCAGGAAAAATCCTTTACCCATTAATCCGTTCGACCTTTACCGAACAAGCAAAACGCAACTATTGATTATCTGGGAGTATTTCGATGGAAGGTACTTGGCCGCTGGGGTTTTTCTATTCAACCACTGTTCACGTCGCTGAATTGAGAGGCAAGTTCAATATGACAGGCTACGAGGCTGAGAAAGTTTAGCATGGCGGCCCAAATGACTACAGGCCAATGCAGGAATTACAGTGATAGGGCTACGTTAATTCAGTCTGCGGAATTTTGAGCTGGCTGTGTCAAGCGATTTTCTAATATGAAATATTTTTAGAGCAGCTTTAGAGCTCGGCTTACGTAATAATTGAAATATATTTCTACTATTTACACGGACTACACACAATATTTGGCAAAAAAATGAACCAATTCATCGTAAAAATGTAGCACGCCTACCTGCACACTGTGCATTATCTGTTTGCATCACTTTGTGCTTAGGGCATTGCAGATCACGAGCTTCGCGGTTCGATCTATATCTACAAGATAACGAAAACGAACATTGGGAATGAAAAGACGTTAAGAAGGGGTCGCGATATTTGCATCTGAAAAAATACGCATTCACGCTACTGTTATATTTCCATACTGTTGCTCTCACGCCAACAATATTTACTCAATAATCAGATCAATTCATATATAAGCGGATAGACCTAAGCATAAGAGGATGAATAAAAATCCAGATTCAGTATAGCATAGCAGGCGTGGAGTGGTGACGGACGGGGTGGCGGTGAATAATAATTACGTAATGCGGGTCAAAGACACCGCGGCGTTAGACACTATAGTACAACTTCTTTCCAAGCTACTATCTTTGGACTGGCAGTTATCGTGGTCAGCGTTTCAGAGCGTCTCCGTATAGACCCGCTTGCTTAACAGTCGATGAGATCGATCTCCTTTCTCCGAAATACCTTTGCTCCAGTTTCGTTTCCCCCACAGCCAACGTCGCGCTCGTCCCGTATTCCTGCTCGTTTGTTGTTTGTTTCTCTGTCCTTCTCGATGAGAGGGATGTAGCAGTCCCTTTAACTTGCCGACGGCCAAAGCTTCGGTTCCTCCACGCACTGCATTAACTATGTATCTACGCTACTACGTGGCGAAACAATCTTAGACATTCGACGAATTTGGTCCTTTTGTATCTATGGTAGCGGCGCGAGGGGACCGATCTGCAATGTGGGCCTGTCTATGCTACATGACTGACGCGACAAACATTCGGGCGTTCGCTCCAACGACGTCCACTAGAAGCCATTCCGTCACTTTCACAAGGAAAACACGTACACACATATAAAAAGTCCTTTGCCAAACCCGAGACGCCTCTCAGATATGTGTGGGGAGGTTTGAAGCAATTTTCGCCTAAATCCCTGACTACCGATAGTCGAGCGAGACCAGCCACTACAAGCCCTAGCGGCTTGAAAGTTTACCCCAGCCTTATCGGTTGTGAGACTCAAGATTTTTGCAGGACATCCAAGAGGCAAGGAGTTGGCACGTTGTGCTCGAAACGGAAAACTTAAAGAGAGACCATGCTTCCCGTTTTCAAAGGCTGAAGAGACGACTTAGTCAAGGAACGAAAGGTAACTGAAGGCAACTATAGCACAGCGGCGAAAGCCAACTGATCGTCGACGAGTGCACTCTGGGTGCGAGTGTTACCTACGAAGAAGGGCTGGGTTGAGTAAGCCGAAAAATCCACAGTGGCAGAAACGGCATCAGGGTATTGCCGCGGGAGAGTACATCGAGGTGACTTGCTTGGATTGAACGACAGTATACTGGGTGTGAAGGACTTCAAAACAGCAGCCAAGAAGATTCAACCATACAGAACCTCCTCAGTTACTACGAAGACGAAGCTTCGTGTGTATATTAGAGGAGTCTGTAGGTGTTATGCGAGTGTGAGAGAGCGACTTAGCTAATTCTGACTTTGCTTGCAGAAACCTGATGCAGCTATCGTGAGCACGAAGACCAGGACTTTTCCACGACAGATACTCTGCTAATTTCTTAAGATCCACCTATATTTCCATTCGGCACCCAACTTCCCGGGAGAGTGTACCGTAACCATACACAATACACACAACTTCGCCCCATTATATACACTAGCACAATACGTATTCTATTCTAGAATACTTGTAATGATTCTAGAAACAAGCTCTGCGATTCGTTATGGTATGATAGAAACGGGATAGGTTTTTTGAAAGCAGCCGTTCCATTAAGCCTGATCAGCTATAATCTTCACTCCCAACTTCTGCTCTGCAAGTTGGTTCAGGGCAGGAGGCTTACGAGCAGCTCCTTTGAATCCCATTTCATCAAACGGAGGGACGATCAAACGTGGCCATTACACTAGTACCAGCGAGATACGGTGGCGAAAATACCCGTCGGTCGCTGCTGACGACTGGATATTTCTTCGACACGTCATAAGATGGAGTTACCAAAGTCATTACATAACGGCACGATTCATCCATAAGACGTGCTTCACTAGCTATTCTATAGCTACGGCGATCAAGGTATAAAGTGCTAGAAGGAGCTATTACGATCAGGTTCAACGCAACAAGATGTGGCGAAAATGTGATCTCATCAGCACAATGCGTATGGACACGATCAGGCTGAGTGGAACACCGCAGTCCTAAGCTTATCTCAGATAGATTTTTTGAGTTTCCCATCGATAATGGACGTACTGGCTGTGGAACATATTTACGTCTTGCGTTTTTACGGTACGATGGCAAACAGTGTCACATGCCTCTTATGATAGTCATATCGTATCATCTATAGATAGCCACTTTGCATAGGTTAATAGGAAGATGTGTAACGATGATAACGAAAAAAAAAAACTTTTACTTAAAAAGTATTGCTTTTCACTATGTAACGGTAGATTGGACTCTATGCTACCAAGGAATTAGTTTGAGTTTTCCTCAAAAAAGCTCAGCCAAGAACGATTCGTGAGTCATGCGTTCATCGATTAGGTCAGAATGTCCTAGCGTATTCTGTTTGTTAGCGCAGATTTTAGCTGTTCTCTAACTAAGCTACAGTGTCGTCGTTAACGTTCGGGCACTTGAAAAAACCCTCTTCATCATTTACCTAACCTATATCGATAACGAGTTCTGATTCCCGACTCATTTAGTCATAGCTTCAGCCGCGCTTGGTCATAAGAGCAACACGTTTTCATCAAATTTTCCGCTGTCTATTTAAATAAGCGGCCTTCCCATAATTTAAATCATAGCTTTTCATCAAGCTATGATGGCTACTTATAAAAGTTGAAAACCTCCATCGTGCTTTTTCTTTTTGGGTGTGCGCACAGAAGAGCCAGCACTGAATCCGTGTACTGTTTCCTCTTTCTGTATAAATGACTAACGCGGATTAATTCATCATCGCGCCCGCCGCCTAATGCTATGTTTTTATCTTCTGCAGTAGCCGTACCAACCGGATGCGCGCATTTCTTGTCGTTGTCGTCGTCGTTTCCTTCGCTTTCTTTCGCTTTTTACCTCAGTCGTTCCACAAGTCAAATTCCTCAGATTCCCTCGTTTAGTCGTCTAGACATCATAGGAATGGCTTTCTCAAACAGGAATTAGGAGAATAACGTTTAGTAGGCCACAACACGATAGAGCTAACAAACGTCAAAGTGGGAGAAGAAAACAGAGATAAGTAATGTTATGAGAGGGTAGGATTAGTGCGTGCACCGATATTATCGGTAATTCGTCATAGTAGAAGCCCCTAGCAGGGGTTCACAGCTGGTTGAATTTTCGCCATTGGCTGGCAGTCAATATTCGTTGCACAGCTTCGTCTGATGGCGTTAAGCTGTGTCAGGCGCATGATTTGCTATGCGGTGGCGGAGTGAAAAAAGTTGGGGGCCATTCTTATGGTTTCCACCTATGTATCCGTGCTCGTGTCTGAGGTCATGAATGACACGACACAACCTTTCGTTCAACGCGGCAAAAGCGACAAAATGGAACCATCGTCGTCATCCCCATCTCCGCTACCTGCGCAGCTTCGTCTGCTATGGCTTCCCTCCATCAACGCGAAATTGGCGACGAATGCCTTTTCTGCACGAACCTCTAGTATCTAATGGTGCAGCAAGGCTTCACGGCTAGTACGGTCTCATGCTACTGGTAAACCCAGCCCATATTTGGGCTGCTTAAGCCCAAACTACAAAAGCTTTCCGAGATTCTCTGCAGCTCCAAATTTCTCCTGGAAATCTGTCCCCCTTTTCTTACTTTGCTCGTTCCCATCGTCTCTTCTGTATGTCTGTTCATGCCAAGACTTCGCTGCTCAACGAAGAGGATTCGGGGCGCCGCCGCTTAGCCTGAGTTCGATCGGTCGACCGATGAAATTTCGGATACTTCCCGTTATTGCGGCTATGCGCCAAGCTGTGCAGGCCAAATTTGCTTGGCAATGGCGGACTGCCGCTTGTCTCCCGGAGCCTAGATGTACACGCATATACGCACGACTTAGCAGACACAACACCAGTTAAACGGGAAATACAAAGGCAGAAAAGGGGGTGCTAGTACGATCAAGCATAAAGGCTTGCCTTCTAGAGCCTGACCACATATGCATATACATACATTCAATCAACTACTACGCCAGCTAAAGGAGAAATAAAGGGGAGGGGAGCAGCGTGAGCAAGCAGTAAACTTTTCAGTTGCCTCATAGTAGTGCAGCATTATGCATTCTGCAGAATTGGCGGATGAAGCTGCTAGTCCCTAACGGATGTCTAGTCGCACTACGTGCGCCAACGAGGCTGTATCAGCATTAGATAGAAGCAGCTGGATGATGTCCTCGTTTCGCTTGCTCTTAGCCTCGACAACGAGGAGGAAACCCGATCGGTGTCAAACACCAATAGCAATAGTGGTGACGGGGTAGCGAAAATTCCTCGCCCCGAAGGTTTACCACCAACGCCACATTGCTTCTATATAATCCTTAGCACCGAATCGAAAACATGCTGTCTTGAGGAGCTGCGAAGGGTGAGCACCGTAGAAATAGAGGAGAACAAAACGAACGGGAGAGATGAGTCTCAAGGCTGACGATTATCAAACAAAATAGCGGCTATAGTCGTGTGTCAAGTCATATCTTGCCTACCTGCTTAAGGACTTCGAATAACATTTGCTAGGTACATAGACGAGTAACTCTTTTTGAAGTAGTTGTTTATTTATTGAAAATAATACTAACTGAAGGTAGTTGATCAGGCTCTTTTCACGTTAACTTCACTGAAACAATGTAGCTCGAAACTGGAAACGATACCTCTAACACTCGTGACATATAGTACACGACACCTGCAACAATCTGAAGAAATCTTTTTATTGCTAGCTTCTGCTCAGCGACGTGTATCGTTGTCGCGTATTTACGGCGTTGAGCCGAGCCAGTCGTTCCGCATTGTTGCGCTCATTGATTGAGTTGACTATTTATTAACAGCTTGAATGTATGATCATTTTGATGTTACTGCAAGTACTAATACCCAGATGTGCCATTGTCGAACGCCACTTAGAAAACCATCCTGTAAACAATGCGTCCCGCTTTAGCATTGATGCGTATCAGCTGAACCTACGTATCTATCTGCGAAAGCTCCTATTCGGCGGAGCGGGACGCCCCCGGGGCAAAACATAGACGGTCGCCATAATTATGTCCGACATTGCGTGTACGCGTGTTTAGATACGAACTTGCGTGCTCATTGACATCACGAGCGTTCCAATACGACGAAACGCTGAGTTAAGTAGCGAGTCGAACTTGGAACGATAAAATGACGCGTAGAGCTTGACACTCGTAAACTGTTGAACGACCGCAACCGTAACAAATTTTAGTTATTGGCAAGCTCACATTGGCACAGGCTTCAAAATTACTACGAGCAGAGCATTAAGTGTCAGTAGGACTCTTGAAATTGGATGATACGAGACATATTGGTGGACGAGGAGTTTCCTGAGTGACGGACGACAAAGGGCCACAATTGTTGGCGGGCATATCCTCCGAGGTTTGGCCACGTTGTCCAGCAGCAACTGACGATGCCGACAGAACGACTAGCGAGATTTTTGTTAACAGCATCACGTACTGGATGTGATCTATGGGCAGCTTCGTAATAAATCCATGCATATTACCTTCCAGACCAGAAAATGCCATGAAGAGACGACGGATTACAAAATGATTTTTATCATTTATATCAACATCTACCGTGAAATTACAAATGCATTGGATATAAAAAGTGATAAAGGATGCAATTGAACGAATGCGTACGTAAAGCTATTGATTTTTTGCTTCTGTATAAAAAGTCTGAGGACTTTCATGAACTTCGATAGAACTCTTACCTTCATTTTTTATAGCTGGCTTATATCTGCCTTTAGGTATCCTGGGATCTGCGGCCAAATACTTCAAGGATTGACGCGATGCCGCATGTTTGACATTAACACTATATTTACTTTACTCAATTACGAATAGTTAATATGCACACCCTGATTTAAATGAATACAAGCTTGAGCTGTATCCCTAGGTTTACCTAATAAGTCCTCCTACATGACGTCCATATGAGGCAAAAACCATATAGCTATTTTTGTCTTCATTGCCTCAAATTCTGACGAATCGGAAGCGCATAAAGGAAGTATTCAATTGGGCGTATGTTTACTCCAGAGTAGATTACTCTCGCCTGCTGGCAATTTCTGTTAACGACATAGAAAACGGTCTGCATGATCACCGCACCGATAAGTTACAAAAGCCTTATAACCGTTGCACCTATAACCCGCATGCAAGTTGCGCAAAGGTATACAAAGCGTAGGAAATGCTTAGAAAAAATTAAATTAATCTACCCAATTTTAAATAATAAATAAATCTGTTATATTCTATTTTTGTTTCTGAGCATATACAAATGGGACACAGTTGAGTCACTGTACACATTTTGTGACCATTGTTAAGGACGCACTACACTCATGTATGAAAACATCGATATACGTAGATTGCCAACGTTATTCACTGTTTTTTTCACTGAAAATTCAACAGGCCGCATAAAACGTGCCTAATTGTGCGACATCATTAGTCTGCGGCGTCCTTTCTTGCCTGAAAATTCAGGTTCTTTTCGCGACCATATGAATCGCTTCAGACGTTGTTACTTTACATATCCATCATCATTGAAACCCTCCGCACTCAGAGGTATTGATGCGTTAAAGCAGTGGCTCTTTCTGTGCTGAGTATGCTTGTGCGTATACGTGTGTATATGCTCGATCCAGGTGGGCCTGACGTATGTTTGCCTGACGTATATCTACAGCCATCTCTCTGGCCATTTGGACGAACCTGTAACGAAGCAGATGATTGCAAGTCGCTCGACCTAGGAGTAAGCAAGGATGCTAGTTACTCAAAAGTTCTGAGAAAACTTTTGAGGCAACATTAGTTTAGCTAACTGACTAACTACAACGAACCGCGCTCTACCATTTAGCATCTGCGGTGCATTTCGCCTTTAGCGGGCACCGCAGGCGCATTCCATTGAACGAAGCAAGCGATCGCCGGCCGGATTCTCGTTGCAAGCTTTCACAGCGTGAAGTGTGGAAACGCCGCGCGACTTCACCCGAGCGCGAGTGTCAATACTACCACGATTGCCGCTATCGCCGCAGACTGCGCTTTCGTCTTCGTCAGCGAAGAAGACGTATTGTTTGTATGGGCAGATTGCAGACGAAACGTTTCGGGAGTGCAAGACGCGGGGTGACCACGCCATCCCTCCTGTTGCGTCCTGCATTAGCTGTGATAACAAATCAATGGCTCTGCTCAAGCAGTCATCTTTTTGCCAAGATTAACTTAACGGTACAGGCTACTGGTGCAGCAGCTGTCACCGTTGTTGACCGATTTACAAATAGTAGGGGAGCTACTGGCCAAGTGTTCTTCTAAACGCTCGTCTAGCACGGTTCAAATCATCCGAGGAAAAAATGCTACTAGTGCAAGCCCGAGTTTGATAATCAAGCGATGCGTCAGAGCAAATAATCTCGGAAGGTTTATATAGACGCATATATTTGCATCTGATATAGTGCAGATGTTTGTACAATCCAGTATGCCTTCGTAAATCCTGAAAAACGAGCTTTGTACGTTGGGACAGCTTGTGTTAGCTAGCATCAATCCATCAGGATGAGCAAAATATTTTCACAATTAAATCTTGTCTACTATTATAAATACTATTAATAATATCAATGCGCTAGTGTCGGATGAAAATTATTGCTAGCACTGCAGTCGCAACTATACATACGTATAGTGATGTATCATATTTGTCTCACTATTTTATGCAGAGATACTGACCATTTTGTCCGATTTATTATCTGATCCGTTTCAGAGCACATCGCGAGCAGGTAGCATCTGTGCGACTTTGGAGAAAACGGCTTCAAACAGCCCAACGACAGCAGGGATTGTAATGGGCGGCGAAGTAACACCCCGTCATTGTCGTAAACTCAGTCCGGTGTACATTGAACGGGTCGTGCTTAAGAGTGTGCTTTTGCTTGGCTTGGCATTCACATGTGTTCTAGCTCCTTTCTATTGTCTTCATTATATCCAGACACCGCTATTCATCGAAACGGGTTTAGGTGGGTGAACTATGTACAGATATTGACGATTTACGTAAACTGTGCAAGGAAAACTTATGCTGTATTACCCTGTACATGTCCTACGTATTCACGTAACGATACACGACAACCGTCTGTATGAACTCGGATCGCTTAGACATTTTTCCATTTAGATATAACATTATAGATAGCTACGATGCACAGCAATTTGGTACTAAATAATTTGAGGGATTTGATAGTTTCGTATGCTGCGATGTGAAATCAGTCGGTATGTTTTTTGATTGGAGGATGATAGTGTAGTAAATTAACATGACCTGACAAATTATAAATCATTGTAAGTAGGTCCTTGCAGAAGTTGATGGGTCTATGGAGCTAGCAGCACACGCCCTTTGTATTTAGGCATGATTTCGACCCATTGAAAATATTACGTTGTCTCCGCTCTATTATCACTTACTAAAAGCCTAATTGTGTAACATATCACATAGTAGCGATAGGATTAACTAGCTAACGAATATCATTTGGCTTTATCATTATAATAATATTATTTAGATATAAAGGAACGTGACGGGCGACCTCTTTTATTTAGCAAGGAAACCTCGATTTAAAGTTTTAATATTACTTTCTATACATACATATATATATATATTCGAAATGTTCTTTCTCGCGATGGGATTTCGTTCAGGTGCCAACATTCAGAGCACGAACAATCCGAGACAGCTGACTTACATTCTATAGAACTATTAATTAAACGACAAAGAAGTAGCAATAGTGGCTCGTTTTTCTAAAAACTTCGCCGGCTCTTGCTTTTGACAAAAGTCATTACATTATGGTAAATTACATGACCACCCCGAATGCTATCTAGGCCAGGGTGAGGTTGGACTACATGGGCCACCACATTTCGAGCCTGGGTTCTGTCAGTATCTATTCTGCCGAGAAACTGAACGAAGTAAGTGGCCTGAGAGCATGATTCAGCTAAGCACAAATGCGAATATGGGTGTACAAGTTGACGCATTATAGTTTTATATTCACCATATAACAAATCGTTGTTTAAGACGATTTTCCACGATTTTATTGGAATAGCGCGCTGGTCGGGCAGAACAATACTATCGACATATGCATGACATCGCAAACAATCACGACTACGTATCAACAGAAGTGGTAAAATGGAGTTTACCAATTTAAAGTACTAATCAACCGAAGTTTGTCAGGTTCACTCGACTGCGGAAGCAGTAATGAGGGACGGAAACAGCTCGAGATTCAGTAGCGGCACAAAGACATGAGCTATGAAATATATCTTTTAGACAAATCTGTTACGCAAATGCCCACTGCAACGGTATACTTTAGAAGATGCGCACGCATGCTTTGCGTGCAGGGAGCGTGCACCGTACACCCCAGATGTTTCCTATCTTTTTGCGTTAGTATTATCCTATCTTATTGTCGGCCCTAAAATATGGCTCTGCTAATAGCGATAGCTACAAGGACACATACCAACTAATACTAAATAACTAGCTACATCCCTTAGCGCAATTAAGCTCCGTATGATTAACCAACATAAAAATATCGCTTGGAGGCTTGGGCTGTGCCTTGTGCTTTACGCAGGACCCTCTTTATGGACGCAGGTCATTGTAGACGGTATGTAAGTTGTTGGTTCCGAGTTCTGCTTTCTATTTAAATAGGCAGACAGAGAACCTATTAACCTTCGGTATATAATACGACCACAGAGGGCGAGGCGCTTCGTTTCGCTTTTGTGAAGTGTGACATCTACAAGAGGCGCTTCATCTTTGCAAAAGGCGTCGCAGAGGTCAACGTGATCCCTCTCGTTTACAACTGACGCTTTATAGCCAAGCCCAATGAGCAGTTATCGACCAGCAGTGCTCATGATGGTACGATACTCGAACAATCTAAAAGCAGCTTGAAGAAAGCCTCGGTGTGCGAGGGAAAAAGTGACTGACGCTGCAGTTTTGTACATCCGTATACAAACGTATATATATATATATATATATATAGTATATTTTCAGCATTGGCTCGACAAGCTATCGAATAGCTAGCTATAAAGCGAAAACCCAAAACGAAAATTGATCATGTTGAAGTCGACAAGCCAGCTAGTCCGGTAGAGACACCTGTGGTATTACTCACCATTTAGTTCCGTAAGTCAAGTACGGCTTTCGGAGTACAAATGGTGGAATTTAGTTAATTACGATTAATTAAAGAGAGCACGCCTTTAAGCTAGTAAAATGTTTCCTTATACGTACGCGTACTGCCATGAACTTCAGTGTCTCATATGTAACAGTCATTGACATCTTGCAGTAACGAATTGGATAATATGTTGACTATTTTCGAGTCTATACGAGAAAGAAAACAGCATTTGATCGGTTTGGCCATACTAGAGTTTTACTTTTCAACCGAAGTTCCTATCCCTGAATGTCGTAACATGTACACCGCAGCTTCTGACGCTTAGTACCATGTGCAGCCCCTCGTACAAACACCATGAACGAATACGTTCTGCAAATCCGCTATATACGTGAACATAGCAGGTTAGCTGCATTGTGTTCGTCATTGTTCTTGTTGTTGTTACTAACGACAGAATGAACTTTTTTTTTGTTGATCTTTACTTGGAGCAGGTACAACCAGTTTAGCTCTGTTGTATGGTACGGGAGCCTTGTCCTGCTGGTACGCGCCGGCATTTGTACAACACCTCTCGCCTTCGTGGGCTATCGTTGTCTCATTCGTGACGCAAGCGGTTTACGTGTCGACATTCTTTTATCCGAAATCCTTCACACTGTTCCCGTCTGCCGTGCTAGCCGGCTCTACGCTTGGACCCCTGTTTTCGGCGCAGACGTCGTTTTTGATGCATCTCGTTTCCAGGTTAGTAGGAAATGACACTGAAGTATAACATGCTAATTGCTTTATCAGGCCATCCCAGAGACGGTGGTAACGGCTGGACAATGGATGTGTCTGCAGCAATAACTGTTCTCAAATAGACGTGACTAAATATAGCTAGGAGAAAGCGGGGCCTCTGTAGCTTTATAAAGCAAAATAATCAATAAAACGAAAGCAAGCCCAGCTTAATATTCTTATCTTACTATTCTATACTTCGTTACGAAATTAATATGGGTACTATATACCTACGGTTCCAATTTTAACTTGCATAAAAGCTTTTTACTGGAAATGACGTGTCTGAGAAACATTGGGTCTGGGTAACAAACAAAGATGAAATCTGTCTAAACATTCTAACGCTGCTGAGCGTTCTTGCTACCAAATACCGTGTAGTCCCGCTGCTACTTTGTAGCCCATTAACGACAAAATAGAAGTTGCATATATACAAATATCATATATATAATCGGTTACCGGTGGCTAACTGAAGGAGTAAGTTTTCTAATTTAAAAAAAGAGACACATGCAGAGGCATGCATTCCTTCTTCTCTCTCATTTCACCCTTTGCTGTTCCGACGAGAAAGCGTGTAAAATCATTGAAGACGGTAATGCTTTCACGTTTAATTATAAAAACCGAAGCTTGTATTTGCTGTTTTCTTTTTGTAGAACCGGAAATCTATAGGTATTCAGCATTAAGAAAGTTGAATTTCATCAAAGAAACATTTACATTCACAGACGTTGTTTGAAGTGGGGCTTGAATGGCAGACGGTAAAACTTGAAACATTTAAAAGTGTACATCCACGAGGTCGTATGATCATTCATTCTCAATACAATAAATCATTTCTCAACTCAATAAAACTTAACAAAGTCGATAAATTTCGTAAGTTAATATTTACGACCCTCTATTAACCTAACTACTAATTAATGCCCACTATTAATTCTAATCAGATCGCGAAGCAGCTAAATTTGGCTTCAAGCTGTCCTCTTCAAATGGTTTAATAACGAACCGAAAAGGTCTTTTGTGGGACTTCGGATCATTGGATCATGATTAAGGAAACGTCTAAAACGACTTTTCTTTCACTGAGGGTAAGCTAGATCATGGCTCTGCTTATCGTTATCGAGATATAGAAATGACAGTCATAGAATTTCATTTTAGAAGATAAAGGATATAGAGAAGCACTTCGTGTTCAAATCTTTGTGGGAGGAACTTGCATATGGCGTAGGTACTTTGAACTAGCTAAACATGGCAACAGATGCCAAGACAAGCTATCGGATAATGAAATGCAAGTGTTGAAAAAAACCTTTCAAAAATGAGCCATCATTATAGAGTGTTATATACAATCTAACACTTGTAAAATAGCTTTTCAATAATATCAACTTTAGCCACCTTTGTGAAGAACTTTAACCCGACCAGATTTTTTTCGCCACTGTGCAAGACAATGTTAGCCATGGCTAAGGATCAACTGGGATCAAAGAAGCTGTTTGCTCACCAGAATCTTTACTAAAAGGCGCCAAAGAAGACATTGAGAAGGTCCCACAACCGAGGATAGAACACATTATCGAGAAGAGTGGAGCGACAGCCTACGTGCAGGCGGCTCAATCGACCATCGTGTTTTTATACCTTTAGTAAAAAATAACATTCTGCTATTCAGCATAGGTGTGGTAGTGTGCGGCAAATATACCTTAGAGCTGAATCTCGATTTACCCATATAGAGACATTCTTTAAGCAAACAAGAGCCCGAGACATTTTGACGTTTAGGTCGTTTAGCTAGTAAACTTTTGGCACTATTTGCCAAAGACCTATGAAGTGAACTTAATTTGCAAGTTCAGTTAATGATATACTGTTTACGTACAATTGTGTCGGTATCTGCCCATTGTCGCTGTGGAAAATCATATGTTTATTGCATAGCTCACGGGTATTATAATGTAAAGACTGAAAAGCAATGTCGCATAGAGAACATTTTGTTTTTTATATTTTCCGAGACGGGACGTGCGGGCGCATCCGTAAATCTTTTTGCAAGAAATAAAGCGAAAGCTCTATGGACTATGTATTTCAAATCGTTTCTACGCATGTATGACAGAACTGATGATAATGAAGTACCGTATAAACATTACTCAAGAAGTACCTGAAAGCTTTCCTTGAGCGTCATGAGCCTTCTAGATAATTTGTAGATCAAGATCCTATTGTACAAGCCGACGTTGATGAATGGCGCTCTCATAAACTTCAAAATGGTGCTATATTTTCATGTCTAATTAAAATATTTAAAAGCGCCGAACCTGTATAAAAATGCGAGGTATTAAAACCGTTACCAGCAGACACACTATAATTCTGTGCATTTATCGCCTGGGATTCAGGTTTAGGTTTTTCTGCGAAAAAAAAACACCCCTTCAGAGTAGATAATGTGTTACTCTGTAAGGCCATACACCCAGCGGCCGTTAGTAGCCTTAAAGGTTTTGTCGATGAAAAACATAATAGCTCAAAGGCTATGTCGAACAATCGAGAAATTCGCGCACTCCCGTTTATAGAATTTCCGATACGTTATTCCTATTTGGGTTTATATCAGACGCTTTTTCAGGGACAGACGTTTTTGAGGACGAGTCTAGAAATGCTTATAGCTAGGAAAAACTAATTCTGGACCATCGCTAGACATATTTTCAGGAAAATCATTCTCAGCTCTATATTAAAATTTTGCCGAAATAGACAAAGAAAACGGACTGTCGTTACAAAGAGTTTTTATCTTGATTGAAGAACGCTTTATCTGAAGAAAGAACGCTAAGTGTTAAAACTATTACAGTTATACTCTAGACAGATTGGACCGTTTACTACATTATGAGTTTACCGTGATATCAAGCGGAACATTCAAACCATTTACTGCCGTTTCTTTCCATGAACCGTATTTCTCTAGATCATATCTATACTGGTTTCCGAGAGAGATCAGCAAACAAGCAGAAGTGATCTGAGGACTTCAAATAATTTTTTTCCTAAGTGATACAAGCTAGGCGAACGTTTACGCGTTCCACGCTCCATATAGCATTGACGGTCCTGACTAAGAACCTTTCCAATTGATTTACAGAAGGCAGCTACGTCTTGATTTTTCTTAACCATTGTCGTCCCTTAGGTTGAAAGAACAATCGAAGGTCGAGAAACTATTATAACGAGATTTGTCTAAAGAAATGCTACTTGCGTATGAAATTGCGTCAAATTCTATTCACGCCAATCTTTTTCGATCATTGTTACCTTCATAAGTGTGAATCTACTGGATTAGGTACATCGTCAACTTACTAGGCAGATAGGCAGGAACGAAATCAAGGTTTATATTCGGCAAGCACACCAAGGACGCGCAAGGAAGTCTTTTTTGCAGAAGAGCGTTTCCGTAAGAAAGACGTTTTCGGCACTACAGTAGACTAGCCTTTCCTTTCTGTCACATAAAAGTTAGGTGGCAAAATGGAGGTAGTGAAAATTGTAAGGAGCATCCTAAGATGGCTCTAGATAAACAACCACAATCAGTGGAGTTGCGCTTCGACTACGCGCAAAAGCCATAACACGTATAGCAGTTCACCAATATTGACCAATTGATTGATTGATTGACAATAAATACAGTTCAGTCAGAGAAAGGAGAAAAACATGAAAAATACAGGTGTTAGAAGCCACATTAATAGCGGGTAGGCATGTCACATGTTCAACTTTGATATTCTACTTCCAAGGACTCATTAGTATGTATAGTATAGGCGTAACACGGTAATTACAAGATGATTTCCTCCTTCCCTAAGCCTTCACACCATGTTCTTAGGTAACGTCTAGTTCTCTTCCGGCCTTTCTCTCTTTGAGGTAAAGTTCGATTTTTCTCTACAGTAGCTATCGACTTAATTTACACAAATACTTCAATCATGTATCACTTAACACCTGGCCTTCTTTATACTGGCAAATCCGTAACAACCAGAGTATTAAAAGGGGTTTGGGGTACTCATCATCACGGAGGAATTTCCTCTGGCTTGCGTTTGCTTACTTTTCCGGAATTTGCGTGCGTTTTTGTCCCATGGAAACGCCGCATTCCATGGCTTCTGCCCATGTTCCCTTCGCCGCTTGTTGCTGTTGCAGTTGTCGCCAAACTACATATGGGCGCAGCCTCACGTCGCGTCATGGATAACTAGAACTTGAGGCGACACAATTAGATCGCATGATAACATAGACAGTCGGGTTTCGAGTTGATCTTGAACCATTTCATTTCGCAAATTCGTCAACGCGGAGCAATTTTGGCTGATGCCCCAGGACCATTAGCAGCCACAGCCTCTGCGAGCAAAGACCTTCGTTTTGCTTATACCGACACAATAGCGGGTATTCGTTGGAGCGGTGATGATGGGGGAGCCTCTCTTTGATCAAATCGTGGGCGTAGCCCGTGGCGACAATATCATTGCCTTCCATTCATTACGTCTCATAGCGTCTCCGGCGCTACGAAGAGCAAGAGCCCCGCGATAGATTAGCGCCGAGGCATGGCAGTATGATATAGGCGAGCCCAGCCAATTCGACCCTCACCAAAGAAACGCAAAATATAAGTGTCGTAGAAATGGTAGTTCCCATAGCCGCTTGCTGCCGACATCGCCGATGATGTAGGCTTAGGCATTGCCGTAGTGGCAGCAACACCGTGTTTGCCTTATACGTGTGATGGTACGAGCAGTACAGGCGGAAGAAAGCCGTGCGTGTCCGGCTGTTTTAGGAGCAGGAAAGACCGACCACTATCGCAAGATAAGGCTACTACTGCTAGCGTGACGGTAGGCGAGCCTTCGTGCGTCGCCTTCTAGCTTGGCCGGTTCTCCTCAGGCAGAAGCGAGAGTCTGACCAGACAATACTAGACTAGTTTTGTCTGGCCAGAAGTCCTATGTGAGCTTTAGTATCACAAGCCAGCAACATGCAGGCCCATTTGCTTGATTCTGTCAATGATGATGGAGTGGTAGACGCAGTCTTTTGGCCCTATATTAAGCCGCTTAGCCGGTGGATGGACGCTATTTATTCGGCATACACAAGTCGCATGTAACACTCTAATTTTTTATTGAAAAGTGCGCTGACTTATATAAATGGACACGTTGGCACGCTTAATTCAAGATTATTTTAATCAAGTTATCTATAGGCGTATACCAGTTGGCATTCCATGTGTGGTTCCCTTAACAGTAATTACGAGAAAAGAGCATAACAGGATAGTTCCGCAGACCAATATTTGTATGGCAAATATATATACATATACCAATCCAGTTGTTTTCGGAAAGCATGTAGCTGACCTTCCTCACATGTAACGCGTGCATATATACACAAGATCTGTTCAAGCTGGGATTTTCTTTAGACAAAAAAGATATTTGAACGAATTTTATGCAAAAAGCTAATTCTAACGTTCGTGTTATCTATCCGATACAACTTCTATTCAATTCGATTAAAGCTCCGATTCGGGGCCTACCACTAAACCACTTTTAGGCTAGTTTAAAAATTCTTGTTCCAAATATGTGAAGGGCTTGAAAGCACAAGTGAACTAGACCACGTTGTTGGACCTCCGTTCAATCGGGTTCGATCCATCGTACTCGAACGGGCCTAAATCTGCACTGTACGACGACTGTATTAGCTTACTCCAGAACATGCTCGTAGTTGAAGACGCGCGGTCTCGCACAAACCGGTTAGTATGAACAGACGTACTATCCTATTGGAGAGAGATATGACCCTAATTTGACGCTTCAGCTTTCTACGGTCGTATAGCAGTGCGTAGAACATACCGGCTAACTTCTTCAACGATGCGTTCGCGTTCGTGAAAAAAGCATAATGACGTGGCGCACTTTTTCTGTGTGATACCACACGCGAAACACGACGTTCGGCCGGAAATTTATTTTCACTCACGATAGGCGCATCCTCTAAATTTTGACCGTGTCACCGGCAGGTTGATTTTTGCATTGGTGACGAACATTTCTCCGTCAAAGAAGAATCAAAGACGATTTGCTGTTTCATCCTTGAGGGAAACGAGGTATAAGCGACACCAATCCAATTTCCTGGTTCTATCGCTTTCGAAAAGCATATAACTGGCTGTCATCACATATAACGCGCAGCCGAGGTTTTTCTGAACAATCAATAAGCCTGGTAGGCGTACTCACACGACATTGCTCTTGAGCGACCTGGGCAAAAGGAAAATAATCCAAGAATATATTTTTGCAAGGTGTAGGTGAATTGTGAAGTCCGCGCTGGCCTAAAGCCTGCTTGTGCTATTTCTACGGCTGTATACATGTTCGCGATGCAGTGCACTATCGATATGGAGTAACCATAGAAGTTGATAATTTCGGCGGTGGTTCGGCCCACGTGTCGAAGAAGTTCGCTCGTAGTTGATTCTCTCGTATTACAAAAACAACGCCATATTGCCCGCCAGAGCTGCAAATTTATTTACATCCCCCTTTGAATGAGCTTTTCCTTAATAATACCCGTTCTGGATGAACGCGTTAGCCCAGACCTTCAACGACCAGTTAAAAACATCCCCTCTGCAAGTTTACCATCCTGCGTATGTATATTGCATATATGTGTTACTCACCAGTGGAAATGAGATTCAAGACTTCGCAGCCCAGTATCGCAGCTCGACAAGCAGTGACTGCCAACGTTTCGAAGGCAGTTGCATCATACAGAAATAAACAAAAGCGCATTATAAGTTCCGAGTAAGCATGTTACTTTTGAGTCTTCTAACGGCATATCGCGTTAGTTTACTTGATTGGTTAGACTCTGGTTAGGGAAACCCGTCGTCACTTTAAACTACTATACTCTATGTATTTTAAACTCACACCATTGTATCATTGTAGAGTATCTTCAAGGTGGCCTTACCTTTCCCTGGGTGAAGCTCATTGAAATGAACTCTATCTACCTGTAAACAATGCCTGTTGACAATGCGCGCCTAACAACCTGCTGTTTTGCGACCGCACTTTTTAAGCAAATTGGTTTATGGTGAGGTCAAGCAAGCAAACAGTGTTTCTCATTTTTTCTTTCGTCCTAATTTCTAATTTTAGCATTTACATTTTAGTTATCGAGACATTCGAGTCCTATTTAGATAAACCTTTGAGTGTCCTGGATAAAAATTCAATTGTGAAAGATTCGCTGTTCTGTATTCCTATAGGACTCGCATAAAGCAATAGCTACCGACATTTAAGAACAACCTACCAATATTCTATCGTGTTCTAATAATTTCCAGTACTAATATTCGATCCGTAGTAGGTGGTCAGATTCTATATATTCACGGCAGCATCGAACTGTGCAGTACGTAAGGCGTGCTTGCTCATCGTTTTAGGCCCACACCTAACATTGAATTTTGTCACTGTCTCCGTTTTTTTGTATTAGCAATTGGTGTGTAATTCACTCTTTTTGGTCTGTTTGCACGTGCAGGGTGAGCGCCCTGACGGACGGTGCTCGAACCGGAGTCGAGCGCCGATTTCTGCGAATGTTCTACGCGTTAGCGAATTGTTCCCGTGTCATCGGAACCGTGTCGCTTTTGTTCATGGTCGCGTGTACGGCGGACGTACAAACATACGAACGTCCACACAGTCACACGGTGCACTCCGAGTATTTCAATGACGTCAACGTAGAGGCAGGAAGAGTTAGCAAGGTAGGCAAAAAGCAAAGACACTAGACAATTTTCCATAGGTTTGGGATTCGACAAATACGCGTAGACTGAAACAGATCGAAAATGATGAATGAGTGCTGTATTTAGTTGGAACTAGCGTTTGCATCAAACGAATGCAACAAGTTGAGGCGTTTTGTTCGTCGAAAAGTTATTTTTAATAGTATTCCTTTTTGCTGCTGCATTTTGCTGCTACTCATGCTAATATGGATTTTGCCTACATGTTTCACATAACAGGTTTACATCTTGATCGCGTAAAAACCACCGTCTGGTTGGCAAACGCTATCATTTAGGTTACTATCCCTTATTATTATTATTATTAAACGACGATAAATTTAGCGAAAGTGTAACTATGTGTGGCTTAGCCGTTGGTTAAATACATAGGTTTCAATTATACTTTCGTCACGATCATTGTGACAAATCGTGTCACCATGAACCCCGTGTATCTGCATCGCAGTAGTCTCGCTGTCGCATTACTGTGCATACGAGCATATACTAAATAGACCTTTGCTGTCTGTCGGTTTCTCCTGTGTGCACGTTGCAGGGCTTCGTAATGTGCAGTTCATCGGCTTGTCCATCGGGTCGAGTGGTGCGGAGTCCACCCACCTTTAGCATTTCACTATCACCACTCGTATCGCTATTTGTTGTTTCCGTCTTTCTCGGACTCGTTTTCACTGGCATAGCTCTCGTCATGTCGTTACTGGACAAGTTTCAGGTAAGTATTAAATCTCGTCTTACGAGAGGTGAAGACGCAACTGCTGGGGTTCTGTTTCTCTGTTGTAGCCTTCACACTTTTCTTCTTATTGTCCCCAATGTGGGGCCGTGGTCGATTCGCAGTTCGCGCATTCGTTTGTTAGCCACGAGACTTCGCGGGACTGACATTGCTACCTTAGGCGCCGCTGTCCAACGAAAACGTCTTGTTGCTAAAAATTTGAACCGTCGTAAAATGGATGACAGTCACCTCGATTCTGCTCCCCGCTGAAGGCACAATTGAAACGACTTCTTTCCCAGTTTCTCGATAGCAGCTCGCTTTCTTCACATGATGTACTCCTTTTGCCACCCCTGCTTCATGGCGAGCCCAATAGTTCTTCCAGGGTGTTGCAGACCTCTCTGATGGCGTCATTGTGGCGCGGACAAAAAGGCAGCCCTGAAGAACCATACTTCCCCAGCGGCGACTAGTAGCTATCGACAGCATCATCAATGCAGCAAGCCTCCTGATTCACAGCCGCTCCTTCTCCGGATCGCGTTGTATCTCACTTGGTCAGGTCGCTTCCCATCATGTTTTCGATGGCGGCCACGCTGAGTCGAGGGAAAAGGACCGGTAGCGGAAACCATGGAAACTCATTCCGTAGAGTTGGGGTCGAAAAAGGGACGAAAGCATGTAGACAATCGGTAATGCTTTGAGGACCTTGTCCTTACAAGCCGCAAGTAAGGGAGGGGAAAAACGGAGAGAGAAAGAAATCCCGAAAGAATCGTCTATAGAAGAGCAACCAATAACTATCCGCTACACATGGTGGTACTAAGTTGGGTTCATCTTTGTTGAATTATTAGAATAATATTGATTTAGCAGTACGAGAGAATTGTTGAAATAATGCTCGTGTTTTTGATTAACCTTAAACACACGTCTATGAAGTAGCTTTAGGCAATGAATGTCACCAATGATTGAAATGGGTCTTGAATATTTCAAGAACAAAAATTCTACTTAATTTTACTGCCGGGCGTTGTTTTTTTCCGAACGTTTCATTATCCTTACTCTGTTACTGCGGTACAATGAAAACGAGATCGCAAGTCCTCGTATGGTCTCACTTCCTGTCACACTTAACTAGCGGCGCTTTCCTTCAAAGCATTAGAGAGCCCATTGTGGATTTGTCCGCCATTTGTGGCATCGCTTTGATTACATTCGTTGCAAAACCCGATACATTCTGCGCTCTGCAACGTTGTGGATTGTAGTGCGTATCAGTAGGCAATATCTATCAGGACAGATAGCTACAAATTACCAAATGGACTGCCACCTGCAGGTTTGCTTTAAGTGAATACATATTTAAATTGCATGCAGGTGTCTAGTCAAAGTATACGCCAAGTCTAAGTATAGACCATATCATCGCGTTGGTGGCGGCATGGAGCGCGCTCGGCTGGTGCGAGTAATATTTCTTTATGATGAGACTGTTGCTCTACCCATGACTACCGCTAGCACCGTTCCCTTGGCTGTAGTCCCGGGCTTGGCTTGAACAATCCACACTGGAATCTTCATATGCGAGCAGAATGTTGCGCGAGAACAAATTTTCCCGCCCGTGAAACGCTCACACATGCGCAGTCATTACTGTGCGACGACGAAACGCCCCCTTAGGTACGTTGTTATGTGGGAATGCAAATGGAACGTTAGGGATGCCGCAGATATCAAGTTGTTCCATTGGAAAAGGCCGTCAAGAGCTTGAGTGAAAACCTGTGGGCGAGGTAAACATGGCAAAGCTAGAAGTCCGCGCTAATAATAAGTTTCTCTCGTTGGTTTTCTTCCTTCTTACTTCGTCATAGATATGCTTTTGGACCCATTGCACTCACATACTATTATAAGCTCTGTAGTACGCCAAAGGAAGGAACTATTTACGAAAAGGAGCGGAATGGTGGGCTAGCTAGTTGGTACGTGGCAAAAAGGCATATTGCGTTAGTTAGATTGAGCACCTAATTAAAAGAGTAACTGGAGAGGTTTCTTACTGTGCAAAATAGGGCAGCGTTAAGTATAGGCTTGCTTCGATTTCAGAATTACTTACGTGTTTACCAAAAAATGCTGACCTTTTTTTCAGAAAACAAACCCTACATACAGGCAACTATAGAAAATGGACGATAATTAGGCATAGGTCGCGTCTGGTGGTCATTACTTTAAGGTCCGCTTTAGAATAGGATCTCTCATTCTTTGCCTGTCCTTTTATAACTACTAAGAGATATCACTTGCCAAGTAGGCCTCTCAGACAAACCTACACAGGGAGCAGCTAGATGATCGAGTGACGTTAGCATGTCACCTAGCGTATTAGGTTTCGTTTAAGCGTCGACCACCAGACATTACGTGGCCCGTTAATTGACGTTCCAAAAATTTATGATTGCCTTCTCCTCTTCGCTTGTTTTGAATGATGGAACTGCCCATTACAAAGCCGCCTTCTTCAATTCAACGAGCGACCGGCGGATAAACGCCGGTCGTTGTGGAACATCGAAGCAAATCCACTGTCGCGTAGCAAACAGCTTCGAAGGCCTGGCTTGATGTCACATTTCTGCCGGCCCAACCGCCGTCCTCCCACACTCAGATTTAACATTCCCTTAAAGCTTTGTTCCTCTTGAGCCTTTCGACAACATCCCGAAGACACGGATGTACGAAACCTCCTTATCTGTGTACCCATCATTGCTGCCCCCGCTTTATCGTTATTCGCTTTCGGCTAAATAAGGCAGCACTGAAAAGGGTTCAATGCGGCATCGAGTGTAACGAACAGACGTTTGGGTTAAGCGGTCTTTGCCTGCCGTTTTAAAGGCTTTTGTCGCCACCATCTTCCTGCTTTGGCCGTTAGCTCGAAACATTGTTTCGCTGCATTTGGGATTTGCAATGCTTCGGCCATGTCTGGGTTTATTTTTCCATTCAACGGGTTTGCTGCCATTGGCTCTTTTTCCTCGTCCTGACAGTATCTCTCGTCCCCGCCAAAGCTGGTTTCCCCTGCAGTTGTTCCGCAGCAGATGTCGCTGCCTTTGCCGCTATTGTTGGTGTTAGCGTAAACGATCTTTCCTAATACTTTGGCCATGCAATTCTGATAGCTCCTCGTCGATAGTGCGTTGCTTGCCTCACGTCCTTTGCAAGCTTGGCCTGCTCGTCTGCTCCGGCTGGCTTTGTAGGACCATTTCGGGTAGTCGAAGCGGCGATGGCCTTCGGTTGTCCGTCGCTGGATCTCGGAAGTCCAGGGTAGTCGACGGAACGAGGCCAAGATTGAGGAAGCTCGGGGCAATCAGGAATGAAGGGGTGAAGTTGCAAGACGTTGTTTTGTCGATGCTGCCTTCCGTTAAATCTAACATATTCCGTCCATCTGCTCGACGTTGGAGGTCTTGTCTCTCCCCCTTTTTCAGCGTAGTGGCTGATGACGTTATATTACAACTCATATTTCAACTTCGCTGAGTCAGTCCCCCGACAGTTGGGTCGGTTGGCCAGTAAATGAAATCGAGCAAGGGAAGCGCAACGTGGTGCTAGCGAAGGCACATTAAGAAGCTCCAGCAGCCCAAAGCAACACCAAAGACCGAATAGATTATTTCTGATGCCGGCAGCTTGGCATGATGGCTTTGACCAATAAGGAAACCTGGCACTAGGGGAGTCTACCCATTGGGAATTATGGGGGGATCAGAGCCCTGTTGGAAATATGAAGGAGGTAAGATGTATAGAGAAAGGCAGGTCGAGAGATGGAAAGCAGGAAAGAAATCCCTCTCATATCGAATTTTGTATGCAACCATGGGTCCTCACGTACCAATCGAACAACAACGTTGTTTATGTTATATCGATCACTCGGTTACGATACTTTAACACTGTCCAATAGAAAACGCCAGCTGGCAGCAGGTTTATGTGGGAATTCATATATATTATATAACATAATAGATTCTTACTGCTATGCCATTATGTCAGTGTCAAGTCCAGTATCGTTTGTCCTGTTTTTGTCAACATAAAAACGGAATGAATGCCTACAGCGTGTAAAGGGATCTACTATTTATCGCACAATTGTGATCCGTTTATTCAGCTGTACACTTGAAGACCTGGTACCGACAAGTTTAAGGGGTTTATATTGGTAGGATACACCTATTGTGCTACGTGTGCCATAAAATAAGCGTTGTGCGGCATTTGTCGTACACTGCCCAACTAAAGGTAATGAAAAACCATTATCCGTGATTGCGCAATTGATTGCCAGAAAACAATCGCTAGCCAACGAGTGTATAAAAAGTAGGTCTATTATTTCAACTGTCTGGAGGGTCGCTGTTTTATCACGTATTGTAGGCGCGGATAACGTCAACTGATCCAATTTTCTATTCGTTAAAAAACTTCGTAACTTTGCGAAATTATAAACATAGGTTATAAGCCAGCGTAAAGGCTATGAACAAAAGAATAACCCGTGACCCATTTTTACCATTATCTAGTTTGCCAAAACAGAGATGCCGAAAATCAACGAAATTATATCTATATACAATTGTGATTTTTTTCAATACTTGCTATTATTAAGAGAAACATCACAATACGGTGTTTTATGCATGTGCGCATTAACAAAGTATCAGCAAATATGAAGCTAACAATGCATGTATCGCGTGCAGAAAGCGCCTCCGAATCCAATTAATCCAAATATCGTAGGCCTAGTTTGTATCCTGCATCTGCTTCGATGTTTAACTAAAACTTACGAGAAACGAAGGTTAATAACTTCCCGCCAGCCTTGCCTTCAATAGTTCGAATTTATTAGAGAAAAGCTCTTTGAAAGCCACAGTGTGAGCCTGTGATCAAGTAGTATAACAAGCTAAGAATTTTACACATCCACCATAACTCTTCAGCCTGCCAAACCAGTACTTCTCTAAGTAAGTTCTCTGTTTGATAGGGTAACTTGACTGCGCTAACGATCTCCATAATCTGAGGTAAGGGTAGTTTAGGAGCTGCATCGACACAATAAAAATTCCCTCTATGGGTTCCTTATTTAAAAAGGAGGCGCGAAA